CAATAATTAATTAAAATTGGAATTAAATACATAAATATGATATTAAATGTGTCATTAATTAATTCAAATACCGATTAATTTTATGTAAAATACATATATAATTATTTCACTATTTACATTTACATGTCATGGTCCTGCGTTGCAGTGCTTCATGAATTACTTTAATCTGTCAAACTCACCCATCAAAAGTTGGTAGGCGGATCCTAACTCCTGATTGGTTACCCTGCCCATCAAGCCAAGACAAATCAATTCCAGATAATGGATCGATGCAGAGCTAGTGAACACATTCCAATACACTGGGTGGCGCTATTCACCTCTACGTTGGTTTAGATACTCTGTTAAACAAAACTGTAATTGCAACGGCTAAAACTCAAGGGGAAGACCTGGTCCTGTTAGCCCCAGTGTTGAGACTCCTCCGGCCCCGGCGGCCCCGGCGGCCCCGGCGGCTCAGTCACAGCCGGTACCTGCCGCTCCATCACGTACACCTGTCCAAGGTAAGATAAGTTTTTTTGGGGGTTTTTTTCTTTTTTATTTCTGGGCACACAGCGGTGTGTTTTTTTATTTAGATTCTAAATTTTTTTTTTTTTGGGTGGGGTTGTTTTTTTTTGTTTCTTTTTTTGTTCTTTTTTTATTGGGGGGGGTTAAAAAAATTTTTTTTTTAATTAACTTGGTTTTGGTGGGTTGGGCCCCCCCGAAGTTGGGGGTTTTTTGGGTGGTACCCCCGGGGTGGGGCGGTTTTTTGTGTTGGGGGGGGGGTGGAGGGTTTTAGCGCCGTATTACGTTGGGGCCGAAGGATTTTGGAGGGGCCCCCCGCCAAATTCCAATTTTGGGGAAAGACCCCCCCCCCCCCCCCCCCCCCCCCCCCCCCCCCCCCCCCCCCCCCCCCCCCCCACACCCACATTTTTTTTTTCCTGGGCTTTGAGAGCAAAAAGAGACATTTTCAGGTCATTCCGAAACTGTGCCTTTACAGGGACCAATACCGGAAGGACACAGTTTCAGATCTTTCCATGTCTTGGGACCTTCCGGCAGTCACCGAAACAAATCGGAGATGGCTACATAACAAACTTCTACTCCATGCAGTGAGTTCCTGCTGGTTAAGTGACAGAATTTATTGCTGTAGTTGTTGAAATTATAGAAGGTGTTGTGAACCCTGGCTTGTTATGTTAACACTAGAGTTTAAGTTTAAGTACTAGAGTTTTAATGGATTTTATAAAGCACTTTATTGTGCTTTTATGAAAATTTTCCGTACTGTGCCAACTTTTGTCAAATTTGGGTTGAGAATTTGGGCTGTAATATGGGTCGGGTCTGTCTCTTAGGTCGTTGGGAGGACCATGCGCCAAATTAAACAGTTGAGAAAGGGACTGAAAGATGTGATGGTATGGCCCCTTCTGACATCTAGGCCAGATGTTGTCCCACTTCTTTTCCCCAAAATGGCTGAAATGCAGTTCACATCCCAGGTAAGTCAGTAATTTAGTTATATTTGTGACTTAACTTGATGAATTTACGTGTATTTTCAATGACTGAGGTGGTTATTTTTCCATTTACCAAGAATGTGATCTGCATATTCCTTCACCAAAATAAGTTCTCCCTTTTTAAAATAATTACAATTTTTGTGTTCTTTAAGATGCTCCTAGAAAAAATCACATGGCCAGTTGAGGACAGTGATGATGAAGACTTTGACTTAGACTCCACGTGCCACATCACTGGCTTTCTAAGGATGTTCATTGAAACAGGTATAAACACCTTATTTGGTTTATGTATTGCTCTCTTAAATGCTTCTTTATCTCATGGATAGATATGGTCAATTAAAGTTGAACTAAATGTCTTGAATCCATTTTATGACTTTTAGCTTCATCAGGTACCCTGGCCCAGCTGCTGACATTCTGGGTTGGCTGGGAGATGCTTCCTCCTGAACTGAGAGTGGAGATTTCTGGGGGAACCCTTCCTACGTCCTCCACATGCTTCGAAACACTGAAGCTGCCAGCTCATTTCAAAACCTACATGGACTTTGAGAAAGCACTTGTCTCTGCCATAAAAAGTACTGGATTTGGACTTGTTTAAGTTTTTTTCAGATGTCATTGCATGCACTGTTTTGATGAATTGACACAAGTTCAGTGTCTTTGAAAACATTAACACACTGTGCAGTAGTTGACTTTTTCCATTTACTGAAACCAAACAGTTCTGCACCTTAAGTGTTAACAGTACAGCATTCATGTTATTCATTCTGTGGACAATAATGAGACGGGAAGTAAAGTGTTGAAGTTCAGAAAGTAGTGGAGCTGTACATGACAGTCATTATGGTAGAGCTTCAAAGTAAAACAGCTTTTTTTTTTTTTTTTCTTTAAGGAAAGCAAACTTTTTCAGTTTATCCTTGCTTGTTCTAACACGCCAAATAAAAGCATGGGTTGGACATCAGTCTGCTATGATTCCTGATAAAACTTCCACAGTCTCTACATATAATCTAAGTGCATCAGTTACAGAAACTCCTGGAGCTGGCAAAAGGGCAACCTCTTCATCTGAGAGCTCACGGGCCAGCTGAACCTGGGGGACTGACACAGTGCCTCCATGAAGACTGTGAGGTCCGTTCCAGTCGATCCCATACTCTTCAGGAACCTGAATGGAGGACAAGCATGATCAATCTTGTACTTAAAACTAGTTTGACATGTCATTACACAAGATTGTTATTTTTGGTCACCAAGTCGGTGAGAAAATCAATGTTGCCTATTCAATTCAGTTTTGTAAAATAATACAGTTGTGCATAGTATGCACCATAGAAACTACAGCTCAGAGGTGGATCTTTGAAAGCTTGGGAGACTTTGAAGAGACTATAACCTATGTTTCATTTAAAGTACCACATTTAGCACAATATTTTCTCCCATAATTCCTTTGGGGAAACAGTTTAAAAAAGTTCTTAAAAGTTGATCGTTCTTTAACCTCAGTAGGATCCTCCTCAGGGCCTTGCTCTCTGGATCTTCTCCAGAGTTGCTGTGGTGACTGATTCCTTTCAGTTCTAAGACCATGAAAGTTCCAAGCATCTCAGATAGAGTCAAGGCTTTGCTGAATCAGTGGAAGGAAGATCCGATGCAGGGCGAAAAGATGGACTTCATTGTCTGGATTCAGTGTTCCCTGATCTTCCAATGAAGTGAAGATCTGATAGAAGAGGTCCAGGGCATGTTCATAAACATCTCTCCACATCCTCTCTATTCTGTGTTTAGGATAAAATTGTCAAATTGTTAATTTATGTGACATATGCTAAAGAACATTCAACTGGTACGTTAGTTGTGTGAGCCTAGTTGCCAAATATATTTATTTACCGCTGATTGGACACTTCTGCCTGTGATGTGTGAATTCCTGTCGGTACCTCTGCTTCTGATCATGAATTCTGCTACATCAGCATTCTCCCCCCTTTATCAGACCGTACCCTTGATGGCAGCCCATACTGCTCAACAGCAGCGATAAAGCTCTGTAAGACTGTATGAGCTCTATTATTGCCAGCCACAGTCAGGTAGACCACTAAACGACTGAATCCATCCACCGCACCATGGACAACAAATCTCCACCTGTTGTGAACACATGAAAAATAACAACTTTATTGTAAAAGACTTTAAATGAAACATCTAGAAAGATGCATTGTTTATCCGCTAATATCACTGACCTGATGAGCTTATGGTTGCCATCTATATGCCACAAAGAGTTTGGGCCAGGAACAGAATACTGCCGTCGTCTTAATACACGCAGCCTTAGACGTCTCATGTAGACTCCCTCTGCATCGACTCTGCGTAAAGACTCTTGCAGTCTTGAGACTGAGGGGAGGAAAATAAAATGAATAACCACACACTCACTGGCTACCTTTTTTGAGGAAATAGTGGTGTCATAATAAAATACATAATGTGTGTAAAACAGTCAACTATTACAGAACTGTCACAGCCTCAAAAATGTACTGTACTGTCAGATATTGTCCCTATTAATATATAAAAGATCCCATATGCTCGAACAGATATGACCTGAGATTTTTAGCCTCCTATGATTATATTATACCCTTTACAGCAGGGGTTGGAGCACATCCGGACAGCTGAGAATATTACTGTCAGATATTGTTCCACCTCTATTAAATAGGAGGCTAAAAATCACAGGACATGTCTGTTCTGATGGCGGTCCTGAAATGTGTGTTTCTCTTCTATAATACACATTCTACATCTCAGAGGCGACGTCTTTCCACAAGCGGGCCTTCACCTTTTATTAAAAATAAATTTAAATAATGTCCATGTTATTATACTCACTTGGAACACGCACACCTCTTGCATTCAGATGACCACGCATTAGCTTGTAGCCAGAGTTTGGATGTCTTCTGTGAATGTCACTTATAATGCGGTCCAACTCCTCTTCATTCACAGCTGATTAGAGATCTGTCTTCCTGCACAAACAAAAGAAACATCAAGTAATGTTACCTTAAACGTAATATCCTTTCCGAGTGTATGAGCGGCAATTCAGAAACTGAAAATTCATGACTTTAGTGTAAATACCTTAAACCGTATTGTTGCATGCGCCTCCTGATGGTCCTCAGACACTCCGAACATCGCTGCAATCTGACCACAAAGAACTTGATGATCCAGAACTGCACTCGGTATGTCAAACGGCAAACGCCCCGGTCCCTGTGTGTGTTGGGCCTGATGCGCCCTGGTACCAGAGAAGCGGTGGACTACTTCTTCTAGATCTGCAGTCACTCTGTGGTCGAGATCTTCCTCGGAAATAACTCCAGGAACTTCAATAAGTTCCTCTGCTTTACTCGCTATATGCTCTGGGTCAGCAGCTCCTGCTTCTATATCCTCTGCTAAGTTTAAAATGTCTCTCTCCAACTCCCTAGAAAGTTCATGGAGATCCTCCATCGTCTCTATCCAGGTACTCTACTTCAGACCAAAGCAATGGATCAGGCTAGATTCGTGTTAGCCCCCCCCGTCTGAGTTTGATGGGTGAGTTTGACAGATTAAAGTAATTCATGAAGCACTGCAACACAGGACCATGACATGTAAATGTAAATAGTGAAATAATTATATATGTATTTTACATTAAATGAATCTGTATTTGAATTAATTAATGACACATTTAATATCATATTTATGTATTTAATTCCAATTTTAATTAATTAATGACACATTTAAGTAATTATTTAATGGTGTATTTATTTATTTAATTGTGGCACTTTCAGTCCTCCATAAAACACAAAGGTTCCGGTTTAAAATTCAATTACGAGCAAACTCTGAAATGTACGTTTTTTATTTTTAAGATCGTCATTGAGCAGTTACATAAAATAACACGAATAACATTACAGCTCCGATGCAATTATTAAAACAATATTCACGTGTTTTAGCGATAAGACGCCCATAGCAACTGCATAGCAACCACAAACAGAACAGACACCATAGAAGCCTGAAACAGGTGATGATGAAATATCATAGGCATTCAATCAACAGAGATTATGGAAATAATGTACACATTTCCCGCTAGAAATGTTATCACAACGAACTCTAATGCCAGAAATATCTTAAAATGTTGTTTTTCCACTGAAAAGAAAAGAAAATGCAGCCATTTTGTTTTTTTCCGCAGACAGAAATGTGACAGTCACGTGACTGCTCTGCTGGATGACACACCTTCTGTACCTGCTGGGCTTGAATAGTATTGGATCAGATGAATGGGTGATAACTGCATCCTGCACCTACTGGTAGGTAGAGTAGGCCCCTACTGGCCCCTACTGGCCCCTATCTGTGGGATGATTGGATCAGGATAACGCTGATTCAATGGTATGACAGTCAGATCGGGTGTCACCTCAGTGCTCCCTCCAGCCTGGCTCTGCATCTCTTCCACCTGTTTCTCTGCAGCTCCTGCTTCTTTTTCTTGCCCTGCGGCACCGGCCCCCCCACCGGCCACCGCGGCCGACTGCCGCACCGCCGCAACGGGCCGGCGGTCGGCCGCGGCTCGGACAGGCCTTAATCAAATGTCCCTCTTCGCCACATCCGAAACATTTCACAGTGGATGATGTTGCAAAGAGGATGTACTCAAAATCATCCACACGGACTCTGAACCGGTAATCAAACTCTTCGTTTTTGTTGTTGAGCAACATGAAGAGCTGTCTGCGGTGAGACACTACATGTCTCAGGAGGGGAGACTTACAGCCCGACAGCACTTTTCTTATTGGTGACACCACCTTTCCATGTCTGGACAGCTCTTTAATCAAGAAATCATCACTAATGAACGGGGGAACGTCTGACAGAGTGATCCTTGTAGCCGGCTGTATCAGCGGTATCACCGGCTCAAACATCCCATTCACTGTAATGCCCGTCTCCACCAACCTGTTCACCTGTTCCACCTTCTCCAGGAACAGGACCACCGCACTGTTCATCCGGGCAGCGGACTTCACAGAGCCGTGCCCGATGATATCCCCCCACGGCCAGTGCTACCTCCTCCACCCTGCACGGAGAGCCGGCTCCGGTTTTAATGCCGTGCTTCCGTGTCAGCCTGGAGAAAACGCTGCTGGACGCCATACCGGCGCCTCAGAGCGAGGCTGACAAACAACAAACAAACACTAAACTAACCAACAAACAACCAAACACCAACCAAAACAACACTAAACTAACACAACTACATTCACAAACACAACACAACAAAATATACCGAAAGAAAGAAATAGAAAGAGAGAAAAACACTCAATTTCATCCAACTCTTCCACTCACACTCACACTCCACTCAGAGAGAGAGAGAGAGAGAGAGAGAGAGAGACAGAGACAGAGAGAGAGAGAGAGAGAGAGAGAGACAGACAGAGAGAGAGACAGACAGAGAGAGAGAGAGACAGAGAGAGACAGACAGAGAGAGAGAGAGTGAGACTCAACTATCAGTGCATTCACTGTCAGACAGCAATCCCCCCTTTCAGACCACAACCAAATTAATGTGTTCTTTAAATTAAAGGGTTAAAAGGTCAAATTAGTGACACCAAAAGGGAACCCAGTAAGCTGTATAAATTAAATTCTTCTTACAGATGGGCCCCAGACAGTGGAGACAAATTCATCAAGGCTTTGAACTCCCCTGATCTGATGAATTACATATCAATATATAATCAAAATCAATATGTCCCTATAGAGATGGGGTAAACAAGGCCATTGAGGATATCAATATGATATTTCATAAAGCAGCTATTAGGGCCGACCTCATAAAGCAAAGACGGAGACCTGTTAAAAGGCAAAATACTGACCAATGGTTTGATCAAGAATGCAAAACAATCAGAAAGAGCTGAGAAAAATAGCAAATGAGAAACATCGCCAACCGAACAACCCAGCCCTGCGCATTCCATACAATGACATTTTAAATACATATAAATACACCACAAAATTAAACCCAATTGAAACTTAAAGATATTGAGAATGCCATTAATCAAAATCAATTCTGGGATATGTGGAACAAGTTCAACACAAAGCAACAGCAGACATTACCCATCCAGAACGGTGACATCTGGAGATCACAGTTTGAAAATCTGTACAAAGACATACCAATCAATCAAATCAATTCAGATCAGTGTATTATGAAAGAAAACTCCAAAAATTAGAAGAAACAATTAAAGACAACCAAAACCCCCTTGATTTCGAAATTACTTGGGAAGAAATAACCACACAGATAAAATGTCTGAAGCCAAGTGTTGGGTCTTGGTCAGAATGAGTTCTCTTTTTGATCAGAAGATTGTCCAACATACGATTTTCTAAGTCCAAATTAGTCTAAAAGTTATTCTCCTTCTGGTGGAAAAATAACAACCAGGATTCATCAAAGTTGGCAGTAGAATAGAGCTTTATTATCTTGACAGACAAACAAAGCCCGAGCCATCCATGGAAAGACTGAATTCATCCTCACAAAGCTTCTTTTTATATACTTTTGCCCTCCTGTCACAAGTCCTGCCCACCTTCTACCTTTTCCATCCACGACATAATGGTGTATATCTACTTTGAAAAGACCCTAAATCTCCACCAGTACGTGGGTCCCAATTATTTTGCCCTTGTTGGGCCCATGCGCCATCCTAGTGGTTGTCTTATCAGCCCAATTATCCTGCCTTTGTTTTGCTCACACTCCATCCTACTGGTGTCTTACTCACCTGCCCCGTCAGGCCTATGTTCTTATCACAGAACCCACAGGCTTCATGGCCTACACTAGTAGGGCATGATATTTTCTTTTTACTCTCCTTTCATCATGATTACACCATTAGAATCTAGTTTGCTGTACTTCTATTTTTTAAAAACCATTTATTACCTTTTCCTTACACCATTATGTCACAGATGTCTTTTACTGTATTTTTTTAAAACTTTATAATATGATACAATCACACACATACATTTGGTATAATCAATGCTCATTTCTAGTTATGATAAGAAAACTTGTGTTACAACCACACATTCTATATGTTCCACACATTAAATCAAGCTTTTACTAAATAACCATGGTGCTTGCTACTGATAAGAAAACTTGTATTTGTGCTTATCATGAAATCATATAAACTTAAAACACATGCCTTCATTAACATCCTTATGAGCTTATATAAATCTATTCTACTTAACACTCAAAATCATCATTACTTAAAACGTAGTGCTCTCTACTTGATTTCCAGTTATCTGTGTGAACAAACCATAGTGCATAAGAAAACTTTTGTGTGATTATTGTGTGATTAATTGATTACTAATTTGTAATATGCACTAACCTACTTATAATATGGACTAACCTACACTAAATTTTATACTACACAAGGAAAGCTTGTGGTCCAGACAGCATTAGAAATGAAATGCTCAAAAGCAGCACCCCAGAAATGCAGGGTGCAGTGTTACATTTGTTCAATGTTATACTACAGGCAGGATGTTTTCCCAGCATCTGGTGCAAAGGGCTCATTTCCCCCATTCATAAGAGTGGGGACAAATCAGACCCTAATAACTACCGTGGCATCTGTGTCAGCAGCTGTCTAGGTAAACTATTCTGTAGTATTCTTAATACAAGAATACGAGATTTCCTTGAGGATCAGTCAATCTTAAGTAAAAGTCAGATTGGCTTCCTCCCAAAACACCGCACCACCGACAGTGTATATACCCTTCACACTTTAATCAACAAACAGGTACAACAAACTAAGAATGGAAAAATATTCACCTGCTTTATTGATTTCAAGAAAGCTTTGGACTCTATTTGGCATGAAGGGCTCTATTACAGACTTTAAACTGTGGTATAGGTGGCAAAATGTATGATCTGGTTAAATCAATGTATTTGGAAAACATTTCTTCCCCCAGAGAAGAGGCGTTCCGCAGGGTTGCAATCTAAGTCCGACTTTATTTAATGTGTATATAAATGAACTGGCTGTTGAGTTAGATAAATGTGCTGCTCCGGGCCTCTCCCTCCTAGATAGAGAGGTGATGACCTTGTTCTACTGTCTCCTACTGAACAAGGACTACAGCTACAGCTGGACGTAGTAGAAAGGTACTGTCAGAACTGGGCCCTGGCAGTAAACATGAAGAAAACCAATGTCATGATCTTTCAAAAACGCCCCAGGTGTCATGAGAACAAACACCAATTTACCATCAATAATCATGTCATTGAACACAGCATGAGTTATACCTACCTTGGTATAACCATAACAGCATCAGGGAGTTTCAACATGGCAGTGAATGCACTAAAAGAAAAAGCTCAAAGAGCTCTATATGCAATTAAGAGAACATTTTATAATTTCAATATTCCAATAAAAGTCTGGCTTATAATATTTGATAGTGTCATCCAGCCCATTGCGCTGTACGGTAGTGAAGTATGGGGTCCACTCAGTCATCAGAGCTTTACCCGTTGGGACAAACATCCAACAGAATCTCTACATGCAGAATTCTGCAGATACATTTTACACGTACACAGAAACACACCAACAAATGCATGTAGAGCAGAATTAGGCAGATACCCACTGATAATTAACATTCAGAAGAGAACGCTCAACTCCTGTAACCACCTGAAATCCAGCCCCAGAGACACCCTCCACTCCAAAGCCCTCCAAACCCAAGAGCTGAGCCCAGAAAAGAGTCCCCCTATGTCAGTTGGTACTGAGGCTAACTGCCCCCTCTCAGACACACTCTGAGCAGCCTCACAACAACACTGCTCTACAAACAGTAATCAGAGTAAATGATAGCACAATGTAAAGAAAGCTATCTGGACCATTGGGAAGAAACAACTAAAAGCCAAAGTAGATTGGAATGTTATCTTGCCCTTAAAAGAGATTATGAATGAGCAGAATATCTCTCTACTGTCAGAGATAGAAAGCAGAGACAGATCCTAACCAAGTACAGGCTCAGTGACCACAAACTGCCAATCCAAACAGGAAGACACAAAACATCATGGCAACCAAAAGAAAACAGACAATGTGGTCACTGTTGGACAGGTGAGGTTGAGACAGAGACAATGTACAACATTAAATAATACTAGAAACATTTATTTAAGTTCAGCTCTTTGGTTCCAGATTTCAAAGAGCTCAACGACCTCTCCACATTAAAAATACTCCTGGAGGAGGAGAGCGGGCACACCTTGCTGCCCAGTGTGTATTAACATGCCACAACCTGAGGGACACACACACACACACACACACACACAGCTCCAACTGACACCAACCAGGTCCCTACTGCATAGAGAGAGACAGAGAGACAGACAGAGAGAGAGAAAGAGTGAGAGGAGCACAGAGAGAGAGAGACAGACAGACAGATCTATGTCTGTTTATATTAAAGGTTGTTGTTGTTGTTGTTGTTGTTGTTGTGTTAATAATAATGTAAGAAGGTAAATCCTGTGTTAAAGTTATTCGGTAAAATGTAGAAACTTCCTCCTTTGTTTGTTCTCTCGTTCACACCTCAAACAACAGGAGGAGGAAGAGGAGGAGGAGGAGGAGGAGGAGGATGTGATACCTGACTCTGGAGGGGGAGGAAGAGGGGGAGATCCTTTCATCTGACATCATTCTCTCTCTCTCTCTCTGAATGTCTCTCGCCCAGTTTCAGGTGTGAAACTTAAAACTCTTCTTCTGTTCTCATTGTTGGAAACACAAAGCAGGTTTTATAACACACACACACACACACACACACACACACAGCACACACTGTACACACCCACACAAGTAAACACACACACACACACACACTGTAACACACACTGTAACACACAACACACACACAGTATAACACACACACACACACACACAGTAACACACACAGTAACACACACACACACACAGACACTATACATACACACACACACACAGGTCAGTTCCTATCTAAAGTACAGAGGTCAGTAATATATTAAATATTATTTAATAGATAAAACTGTTAATAATTTATATAATTAGTGACATTAACAGTTTTAATGGATTATTTATAATTATTATAAATATATTTATTATATATAAAGTTGAATATAATAATAATAATAATAATAATAATAATAAATGTTTATAAGTGAAACAGAAACAATTACTGTAATTACACTTTTATTATTCAGATTAAAACAATAAATAATAAATAATAGCAGCACTGTTTATTATTATTATTATTATTATTATTATTACACCAGAGTAAATATCTTTAATATCTGCAGCAATATTATTGATTATTAATAATATATATTAATATATATGATATGTTTATTGGTGTAATGGAGAGCGACAGACAGGCAGAGAGCGACAGACACATTCCTTCAGTCACTGGCCCCGCCCCCTGAGTGGATGATTGACAGGTGAGTCAGCCAATCACAGCCCAGAGAGGGGCGTGTCCTCCCGCTGAGTCCGACCCGCTTTTGTCTCAACTTTTCTCCGGAGACTGTGAAGTTAAAGTGGAGGAAAAACCCGGAGAGACAGACTGTACCTGGCCTGTCTGTCTGTCTCTCTCTGTGTGTGTGTGTGTGTGTGTGTGTCTGTCTGTCTGTCTGTGGGTGTTTATTGTCTCACCGTCTGTCTCCGGACCCCCACACCCACCGACCCTCCAGCAGACCCACCGACCCCTCTCCGCTCTCCAGGCCGCCTCTCAGAGCTCCTCTCCCGGCCTCGGATACCGCCGCGGTCCGCTGTCCTGGAGGAATAAGTTTTGAGGGTGAGACAAAGGGAGGAGGGTGAGACAAAGGGAGGATGGAGGGATGAAAGAGGAGGACAGAGGAGGACAGAGACCCGGACAGAGGACTGAACTCGACCCTCAGAGGAGCCTCCAGCTTCTCTCCCAGTTTTTCTCCTTTTCTAACTTTTCCAGCCTCCATCTTGAAACCTGAGACGGACTTCCGGTTCCTTCCTCATTAAACGGATCCTCGGATCGATATTCTCATCGATTATCGGGTTTCTTTCTCACTCTCCAATGAGGCGCGCGCGGCCGGCTGAGAGCGAGCCCAGCTGACGTCAGTGATCAGTGATCGATAGGTGTGATCGGCTGTGTCCCGCCGCGGGTCCGGATCAGGGTTCGGGTGTGATCGGGTCCGGTTCGGGTTGTTGATGGAGGGTCAGAGGGGGCTGCGGGCCCCTGCTGCTGCCCGGGGAAGGACCTCCTCCTGCGGGCTTCTGCTGCTGCTCCTCCCGCTGCTGCTGCTGGAGCTCTGCGGGGCCGAGGAAGGTAAGATCGATACTGATCACTATCAGCACCTGGCAAACTTCTCCTGGTCAGAACCTCAATCAATAAGTTTATTGATCGATCAGTCATTGTGATAACTGATGAACAGTTTCAGATTGTTTCTATATAAACTTTAAAACTGAAACTTTCATTCACTTTTTACCACTTTTAGATATTGATTCATATTGATTAGATCAGTATATTGATTAGATCAGTATATTGAGTACCTGTTCATGTATTGATTGTTTGGAGTCGTGTACAGAAACAGATGGAAGTGAATATTTGCTGCTTTATTTACATTCTGACTGGAAACTGACTATTGATCCATCAATAAGGGAACTGATCGATCACCAATAGAACAGAATAAACTTTATTGACCCGAGGACAATGTGATACAGTTTGTTGATTCACAGAAACAAATAAACATCAACATTTTATACACTGAACAGAATTATAAACCAACACTTCATGCGTTCCCTCATTAGACGGGATCTGAACCAACCAGGGGAATGTTTCATTAAATAATCTGCTGTACTTTATAAAGCTCTGTGAGCTGAACACTTTCTCTCTTTCTCTCAAATATTGATCACAAATCTGTCAGTATCTGTGTCAGTGAGCACTTTGGAGATAATCCATCCCCCTCACAGTGTGGGGTATCAATATGCTGATCAGACAGTATGGGTATTGAACAGGTGTTCCGTATGGGGCGTTCGTTTTGTCTCGTAATCGCGACTTGCAGCTCGACAGTGACGTCACATCCGTGTTTGAGAACGAGTAACCGCGGGTCTTTGTGTTCTGTTTGTTTGGTAACGTTGATAGAGATTATTCACTCGTTCATTATTACACAGTCATATCTCACAGTTTGATATCTGAATACTCCGTTCTGATTAACGTTACCGTTACCGTGGTTACTGCTCTGCTTTCTGCTCAAGACTCGGCACTGTTGTCATAGCAACATGGAGCGTCTCGAGCCACTTTCAGCTGCACGAGCTACAAAGTAACTAATGAGGCTCATTAACTCACAATGAGACTGTAGCAACAGTGTACAGTGCTGTGGGTACGACTTCTTCTGTGGTTACAACAAACACTAACACAATCTTGGTACCTGAACTCGGTCCTCTGAGCTCAGACGACTTGACGAACTTCTGGTTCGTAACTCAGGAAACCGACTCGCAGATCGAGTTCGGTGGACAAATGGAACGCACCATTAGGCTGGCTACAATGAGACCTCCTGATGAAGAGGGTCCGGTCTCTGTGGACCTCCTGATGAAGAGGGTCCGGTCTCTGTGGACCTCCTGATGAAGAGGGTCCGGTCTCTGTGGACCTCCTGATGAAGAGGGTCCGTTCTCTGTGGACCTCCTGATGAAGAGGGTCCGTTCTCTGTGGACCTCCTGATGAAGAGGGTCCGGTCTCTGTGGACCTCCTGATGAAGAGGGTCCGGTCTGTGTGGACCTCCTGATTCAATATTCAAGATTCAAGAAGCTTTATTTATCCGAGGGAAATTGCTGTGCAACAGTTGCGATATAAAAGTGGAGAAATACAAGAGTAAGAATCAAGCTAGCATAAAAATAAAACAAGTAACTAAATGAACATAAAATAAAGTTCAACAGTAACTAAATGCAACAATGGCACAAAAATGACAGTTAACGTATGCATATGTAATATATAATATAATAATGATATACGCACTGTGCAGTTAGCCGCATCAGTTGTAATAAAATAAGTAATAAATATAGTGAGCAATTGTTTAAAGTGATAAAACTGTATCAGCATAGTACAACAACATAAAGAGATTGATGACTGAGTGATATGATGGGTAAAAATGATTAAATGATAAAGTGACATTGTTCAGGACACAGTGTCTCCACTGTCCCTCTCGCGACCGGAGGTAGATGAGTTATAGAGTCTGATGTCCACGGAAGAAAGACTTCCTCTGGTGTTCAGTGTTACATCGGGGGAATGAGTCTGTTGCTGAAGCTGCTTCTGCTCGAGGTTAGCACCTGGTGGAGAGGGTGAGCGTTGTTGTCCAGGATACTGTGCAGTTTACACAGCATCCTCCCTCTCAGACACCACCACCAAAGAGTCCAGTTGGACCCCCAGGATGGAGCCAGGCTTCCTGATGAAGAGGCTCCGGTCTCTGTGGACCTCCTGATGAAGAGGCTCCGGTCTCTGTGGACCTCCTGATGAAGAGGCTCCGGTCTCTGTGGACCTCCTGATGAAGAGGCTCCGGTCTCTGTGGACCTCCTGATGAAGAGGGTCCAGTCTCTGTGGACCTCCTGATGAAGAGGCTCCGGTCTGTGGACCTCCTGATGAAGAGGGTCCAGTCTCTGTGGACCTCCTGATGAAGAGGTCCTCCTGATGAAGAGGGTCCAGTCTCTGTGGACCTCCTGATGAAGAGGTCCTCCTGATGAAGAGGGTCCAGTCTCTGTGGACCTCCTGATGAAGAGGGTCCGGTCTCTGTGGACCTCCTGATGAAGAGAACCTCCTGATGAAGAGGAGATAGATAGTACCATTAGGATTAACCCCTCACTGTCTGTGTGTTTAAAGGTTACTGTGGTTCTATTGTAAAGACTTTACTGAGACTCCTTCAGTGCAGTTATTGATACAGAGGGATTGATTATAAATATATTACCTTTGATCTTCAGGTGATTGATAACAAAGCAGCAGTTATTGATACAGAGGGATTGATTATATATATATTACCTTTGATCTTCAGGTGATTGATAACAAAGGAGCAGTTATTGATACAGAGGGATTGATTATATATATATATTACCTTTGATCTTCAGGTGATTGATAACAAAGCAGCAGTTATTGATACAGAGGGATTGATTATATATATATTACCTTTGATCTTCAGGTGATTGATAACAAAGGAGCAGTTATTGATACAGAGGGATTGATTATAAATATATATTACCTTTGATATATTTAATAGAAACATATAATTGTTGGAAGATGTTGTGAAGATGTTCTCTCTCTTCTTCATCATGAACTGTGAGCAGGTTCATTTCTGTAATTCATTATTGATTATAGATTATTGATGTTGTTACAGTGTGTGTGTTACAGTGTGTGTGTGTGTGTGTGTGTGTGGTGTAAATGGTAAATGGACCTGTACTTGTATAGTTTCCTTTCTAGTCTTCTGACCACTCAAAGCTTTTACACTACAGATACATTCACCCTTTCACACACATTCACTCAGCGATGCATCAGGAGCAATTCGGGTTCAGTATCTTGCTCAAGGACACTTCGACATGTGGCAGGAGGAGCCGGGGATTGAACCTACAACCTTCTGATTAAGGAACGACCCGCTCTGCCTCTGAGCCCTGTTACTGTGTGTGTGTGTGTGTGTGTGTGTGTGTGTGTGTGTGTGTGTGTGTGTGTGTAATTACAGTGTAGTAAAGTGAAAGCAGCATTTCATGGTTCCGCTCTGCAGCAGCTGAGGAATGAACCTCTGTAACTCACTCAGTGTGTGTTCTGTTAACTGACACACACACACACACACACACACACACACACACACACACACACACACACACAGTAACACACAGTAACACACACACACACACACACACAGTAACACACAGTAACACCCACACACACACACACACACACACAGTAAGAACAGATCTTCAACCTTAAAGAAACATTTTCAGACTTTAACAGAATTCAAACTGAACCTGATTGGTTGATGGTCTCCAGTCAGAGAACACAAGGTCATTAGGAATCACTTGGTAGAGACGGTTCTCTTTGGTTCTGATCCAACTGAGTGTGTGTGTACAGTGTGTACTGTGTGTGTGTGTGTGTGTGTGTGTGTGTGTGTGTTACTGTGTGTTACTGTGTGTGTGTGTGTGTGGGTGTGTTACTGTGTGTTACTGTGTGTGTGTGTGTGTGTTACTGTGTGTGTGTGTGTGTGTGTTACTGTGTGTTACTGTGTGTGTGTGTGTGTGTGTGTGTGTGTGTGTGTGTGTGTTACTGTGTGTTACTGTGTGTGTGTGTGTGTGTGTGTGTGTGTGTTACTGTGTGTTACTGTGTGTGTGTGTGTTACTGTGTGTTACTGTGTGTTACTGTGTGTGTGTGTGTGTGTGTGTTACTGTGTGTTACTGTGTGTGTGTGTGTGTGTGTGTTACTGTGTGTTACTGTGTGTGTGTGTGTGTGTGTGTGTGTTACTGTGTGTTACTGTGTGTGTGTGTGTTACTGTGTGTTACTGTGTGTTACTGTGTGTGTGTGTGTGTGTGTGTGTGTGTTACTGTGTGTTACTGTGTGTGTGTGTGTGTGTGTTACTGTGTGTTACTGTGTGTTACTGTGTGTGTTACTGTGTGTGTGTGTGTGTGTGTGTGTTTGTGTGTGTGTGTGTGTTACTGTGTGTTACTGTGTGTGTGTGTGTTACTGTGTGTGTGTGTGTGGGTGTGTTACTGTGTGTTACTGTGTGTGTGTGTGTGTGTGTGTGTGTGTGTGAGGTTCTTCCTCACCTGTCCTCCTGTCTGTCTTCATAATGACTCTCTGTGCTTTCACTTTATCTGCTCCCAACCAAACTTCACTCAAATCCTAACTGATTTTATAAATATATATATCTTTTATCTTTTATTTTAAATGTTCTTGAGGAGGTTTAAATGTTCTTGAGGAGCACCTGTCTCACTGACTCTACCTGTCTGTCTCTCAGAGGTTCTGATGAACACCAGGTTGGAGACGTCCGACCTGCGATGGACCAACTATCCTGCTGACGATCCAAAGGTACACACAGACACACTGACTGTTAGCTCTCCGCTAACGTTTACCATTCATTCCAATGAAGAATGCTAACCCATTAGCGCTCCCTCTCCG